TTGCTTTGCTAGAAACATGGGCTATTGGTTTTATGGGTTATTTTATTTCATCTTTATTAAAAGCATGTAAGAAAACATTCTCCACTTCTTTTTTCAAAAGCATGCAGCTTCTTAATTCCAACCCATCAAAACAATATTGGCTTATTTTATTTCATCTTTCTAAAAGTCTTGGTTCTATATTGCTTTTCTTGAAAGTTGTTAAAAAATATTGTTTTTAAAGTCATTTGCACATGCTCTTTGTTGGGGTCTTTTTGTTGAGAGCTATAATGGGATTGTTAGACTACTGTGAAGTAGATTGAGCTCTCTTGCACCCCTATCTGAGTTTGGGGCACTAGGCCCCAAAACAACCGAAAAAGTTGAGACCTTAGGGAGTGCTTTGGTCTTCTTCAATGGCTCTTCAGTCAATTGAAAGTTTTGATGAGAAGGATACATCAGCTACTGTGAAGCTATTGCTTGATGATAGAGGTGGAGCAAGCATTGGAAGGGGTTTGTTTAAAACATAATAGAACAAGTGTTCCAGCAGCTGCTATTTGTTTGATTGGGCTTCCGGCAGCTTGACGAATGCTTCGTTGCCCCTTTGGATTTCTCACAAAAAAAGTGATCCCATGATTTCAACTTAGCTTCATAAGATAAGTGTTTCAGATATGGAATAGGGTTTTTGAGAGAGAGAGAGAGAGAGAGAGATATATATATATATATATATATATATATATATAATGAGAAGATAGAATAACCAGAGTTTGAATCTGGTGCTTCCAGCAGTCGGAGCGTATGCTTGCCCCTCTGCTTGAGTTCAAGAACCAGTCCCCAAGAGTGCTTTGAAAAGCTTGTGGAGCCATAGGAAGCACTTTGGTTCCTCTCACCAACAAGATAGACAATTGTTACAGATCAATATTATGGCTTGACATGAGAAGCTTGTGGCATGGGAGCTGAGCCTTCATGAGTTTAGCATTAGAGAGAGAGAGAGAGAGAGGGAGAGAGAGAAAGCTTGGATTTCTTATGAAAACAAAGGTTCAGAGCAAAGGGAGAGGGAGATTTGGGAAGGTTTGATGAGGGAAGAGAGGAAAAGATGAGGGTGGAAGAATGGGTGGCTTGAGCAAATCTTCCAGTAGCTTGATGAAAACTTTGTCACACTCTTGGGTGTTTTTCCAGAAGAGAAAAGGGGAAGACATGGAATAACAGAGCTCGAAATTGAAGGGTTCGAGTAGTGAGAGGGGATGCTTGCTCTCTCTGGATGTGTTATTTTGCTGGGTAGAAGATGCCTCCTTTAATAGGCGTTGGACGCTCTAATTTTACCAAGTCAAAAATGGGCCTGAGTTTTGGTGCTCCCAAGCAGCCCAAAACTTCCACTCCTCAGTCTATCAATGGGCCTCATGATCACTCATGACTATCCAGGCATTTGCGTGGCTTGGGCCCACTTAAGCTTGTAGCGTGGCTTGGTGCCAAAATAAAGTTTTTTCGCTTGGCATTGCACATTGCTTAGCGTGTTTGTGCTCGAGCTTTCCCATATTGCAGTGGGCTATAGCCGGGCTAAACGGTGCTTGACGGGACAGTAAGCGCGGGTTCATAGAGCCAGTACATTTTACTGGCTCGTTACGACCTCTATGCATGGCGGGTGGTGTGTTTGCTTGGCGTGGCATGTGGACCATAACTTGCGCAAGTGCATACGACAAATTCTTGCATACCCAAATCAGGCTTCTTTCCTTATTAAGTGTTGTATTGGACCAGAAATATATTTGGGCCTCAACACTCTTCAACCATTCTCTTGTGCAAGCCTTTATTTCACGTGCATCTGACAAAAGCATGGGTTGCTTCTATTCTTTCATTGTGGCTCATGGTTTTTTATTTCAAACGGTTGTTTCCGACAACTTGTTATTTAAATTGAGCACACAATATTATTTTATAATATATTGCTCCATACTCTCAATGGCTGGATATGCAAATTGCATATACCTTCTTATTTTATTCTCTTGATCAGAACATTTAATCTTTCCTCTTTGAAACTTGTTTTCATCAAAGTCTATTTAAACAATACTTGTCTTTGATCAAAGGTGACCATGCAGGAAAATAGGTGCTGCACTTTCCTTTGAAATATGAAGCAGACCATTCATTCATGAAGGAAAAACAGAAATTGCAGATACACTTAAAATCTTATGCAGTCATGTTTATAGTTTTTGAAAAACAATTCTAATTTTCTATTGAGCATTAAAAAAACAATTTGTATTACTTCAGCCATTGTGATTTAATTGAGTGCATGGTTATGATTGCATAATTCATTGAAGAACTCCAAATTAAATCACATTGATTTTGACTGAAGTTTTATTGTTTCATTGTTGTTATTTTGATTTAAACTATATGCTTCAAGTTCATTACTTTTAGTTTAATCATCACAACACTTAGGTTCATTTGTCTAGCTCAATCATACTTTGTGATTGAGATAGATGAATCAGTGAAACCATAACTCACATCATACATCAAACTACATGCAACTTGAGCTTGGTGCTCTTGAGAGGATTTGCTACTAAGAGATAAAGAAAAGGTGCTTTATGAAAGGTTGAATTGTAGCTGCCTATAGGTGATAGATGAGCTAAGTTTTCTTTCGTTTTTCTTGTATTTTTTAATTGAGTAGATTGGGTATCTCCTGGCTTGGTGTCCCCAGTTTTTCCTTTGTTGGGTTTCCTAGGTTAACAATTATCGTGTGTTATTTACATTCCACTGTTACTAGTTTTAATTTATTAACCATGAAATTGTTTGTGTTTGTGCTTATGTGCTTTTAAATAACATAATTTTTAGAAAGGGCAGTCTTTTTCTTCTCGCCTACTACCCCCCCCCCCCCCCTCTTATAGGCTTTTAAAGCTTAGGGCCTAGTTTTACACACGAACGCCAAAATCTAAGACTAGTGCAAACTCACATATATTGTACGTAGCAAATCCATGCCACAAAGAAACTATTTCAATAATCATAAACAAAAGTCCCCTACAACTATTACATTAGCCTTATTTATAGGCTTTACAAGACTTGGGCACCAAGGTTACTTGGTCCAAAAGTAAACTAATTATCTATAAAATCACACATAAATAATAAAAGATATCCTAAAACTACCTAAATAAGAAAATAATAATATCTGATGAAATAACTAATTAAATGATAAATATCTATCTTGATCCACCCCCTATGCTCCTGCATCACAAACCCTCTCACTCTCTCTAACCCAAATCCCTCTCTCCCTCTATCTAAACCCAAACCCTCTCTTGCTTAGTACCCGTTTGGCATTGCTTATTTGGAGTGATAAGTGATTTTTAAAAAATTTTAAGAAGCCCAACCCGTTTGGTAACCTATGAGAAAATCACTTATTATTAAAAATTGATGTGGGAGAAAGCAATAAAGGAAAGCAGCTAATGAGCTGCATTCAATTTCTGATTATATGATAATCAGATTTGAGGAGGCGCTGAGTTTAATGAATATTACAAAATTCCGAAAATACCCAGATATGATTTCACGCTCTCCTCTTCTTGTGCGTCTTCTCCTTCCCACGCCGCAGGGCACTCTTCTCCTTCTCTTCCATTCTTCCTCCATTTTTTTTCTTGTTTGATCAATTGAAGCGCCCTCCTAAGAAGCCACAAGACTCAAGTAAGAGGTATATTGTGTTTATTTCTTCTCAATTTCATTCTTCCTTCTTTCTCTTTAAGTTTTAGGGTTTTAAGTATCAATTGTTATTGTTGTTGGTTTTCTGTAATACGATGGTTGTGTTCTTCTGTGCTCTGGCTCGTGATGTTGAAGCCTGCTTCTTCTGTGCTCGGGCTCCAGAGACACATCAAATTGACTAAGCTGGGCATTGATGGTTCTCTGGTTCTAGACTTAATGGGATTAATTTTTCTTTTCAGAAATTTCAAAAAATAATTGTGAAGTGTCGAAATAATTAAAGAGATATAAAATGTCACGCCCCTGGAGGCTGGAGTTGAATCCAAGGGATTATGGGTGGTCTGAAAACTTTGATATTTCGATCTGGTTACAGAGAAATGGTTGTTTTGTTCATACCCTGTTTTTTTCCTTTTTTGATCAATAGTTCATGCTTTGTTTGGACTTAATGCTCCAGCAAAGAGTCTATCAATCTAGCATTAGACTAATTGAATCGATTGACTTTGCAAGGTTAGCATTTGTCCTTTGAAAAGGAAAGAGTGACTTTAGAACTAGTTGGCTTCTACAGGTTCCAACAAAATCTGTTCATATCTCAACGATAGCTTACTGATGTGCCCAATTTAACATGGCACACTTCCATTTTCCCTATACGTTATATATAATATTTGATTGAAAGATATTTGGGTCATTAATAGTTAATGTGCTTTGATCATATCGTTGAAACTGTTGAGGAAAGCTTGTTTTATTTTCATGTGTGTCTGAGGAGGGAAGAAAGTTGTGTTATGAAATTTTATTGTGATGGCAACCTTTTGGTTTATTTTGTAGAGTTGAATGACAAAAGCCTTTGAACAGTAAGTGGTAGTTTGGGGCTGGGATTATTAGAGGCGTATAGTTCAACTTTGGACATTTTATGAGACTTTTGGATTATAATTTATATTAGTGGGATGTTTCACATAGAGCATGCTTTCCAAAATGTGGTCACTGTTTTGGGAACTTTTATTGCTGGAATACATTTACTTGTCAGTTTATTGTAAGATTTCTTTTGACAATGTGGTTTACTCAATTTTTACTTTAATTATGTGATAGGGTCTATCTCCTGAGCAATTCAAGATTGTGATTCCTAAAATTCTTACATATTTCGCGATATGAAACTTTTCTCTTTAATTTTTATCAGCAAAGCTGTATTCATAGTTCTCCTTAATTTTATCTTTTTGCTAGTTTGAACCATCCATGCACTGTTTAGATTAGATAAACATCTATGCACTGCATTTGAGTTGTGGCTAGTTTGGTTTGTTTTGTAATTCCCTTGTATTCCTATTATTTTCTTTTGTACTTATATATAATGTCTTTGTTGCAATAAGATGTCAAAGAAGAATAGTAACTTCACCACAACTGAAAATGTTGCAAGTGGATCCCGAAAATTGTCAGCATTGTGGAATGCTCAAACTACAGCCATCTTCATTGACCTTTGTATCAAGGAGGTGGATCTAGGCAATCGTCCCGGTACTCACTTTAATAAAGTTGGATGGGCAAGGTTGGTTACAAATATTAGTAAAGAGATAGGAAGACCGTATGAAAAATTACAATTGAAAAATAAGTGGGATTTACTAAAAAAAGAATGGAAATTATGGAAAGATCTAAAAGGGAAGGAAACTGGTCTTGGGTGGAATGTTGCTAAGAATACCGTTGATGCATCCGAGGAATGGTGGCAAGATAAAATTAAGGTATTTTAATTTTTTGTTCTTGTTTTTAATATAGTATAGATATCCATTTTTTTTAAACTATAAATTCATTATAATATTTGTATATGTCATAATGCAGGCAGAACCCAAATATGCAAGATTCCAATTTGAGGGTATTAGTCCTGAGATGGAGGAGAAGTTAGATATGATGTTTTTGAATGTCACAGCCACTGGTAAGCATTCTTGGGCACCTTCATCTGGTGTACTTCCAGTTGAAAGTGATGATGATGTCAACCAACTTGAAGTTAACGGTGATTAGAATGAGTCTGTGCCAATTGAAACAATTCAAATTATAAACAATGTGCAAAAAAAGAGAACTAATCAATCACTTGAAATTCAAGATAATAATGAGAAGAAAGGTAAAGGAGGGGGGGAAATGGGAGGTGCTGCAAAATTATCACTACAAATTGAACGTCTTGTTGAGGTGGTTGAGAGCAGGAGTATTGGAACATCAATGGCTAATATAGTTTCACAAGGAACTAATATTGCTGAAGTGATGGCTGCATGCAATTTTGACATGCAATTTATATTTGCATGTGCTAAGGAACTAATATTGCTGAAGTGATGGCTGCATGCAATTTTGACATGCAATTTATATTCGCATGTGCCGGATGGGAAGGCACGGCCCATGACACAAGGATATTTCTATCGGCTTTACGTGATCAAAGTTTGAATTTTCCTAAACCTCCAAATGGTACTATTTCTATCTAAAGAAAAAAAATTCATATAATTTATATTTAAGTTTTTTACATTGTGAATAATCTATTAAATTTTTTTAGGAAAATATTATCTAGTAGATGCGGGATACCCACAAATGAGAGGCTACTTAGGACCATATAAAGGTGAAAGATATCATCTTCCTGATTTTCGTAGGGGTGTTCAACCGATGGGTCATAAAGAGGTATTCAATCATGCACACTCTTCTCTTAGAAGTGTTATTGAACGCACTTTTGGAGTATGGAAAAAGAGATGGAGTATTTTACGAGACATGCCTAGTTATCCTTTTGTAAAACAAGTCAAAATAGTTATTGCAACCATGGCACTTCATAACTATATAAGAAGACATGCCAAACGTGATTTTCATTTTAATGAAAGTGAAGATTACCTAAATGGTACTCAAGATGAAGAGATTGAGAGAGAGAGGTTGATGCCCAACAAGAAGATGGTCCTGTAACACAAGAAATGGAGGCATTGAGAAATCATATAGCCGCAAGTTTAATGAGTTCATCTGCTTAGAAATGTATATGATTGCTTGTTTATGACTAGTTTAATTTTTGTTATGACCATATTATTGAAAATATATTTATTTTTAATGGAATACTTTATTTATTTTATAATTAAAATAATTTTTAGGGTGTTATGGAAACATATTTAATACAAAAAAAATTATATAAGCTAAAGTGAAAGTGCTTTTCCTTTTACCAAACACTTGAACAGAAAAGTCATTTCAGCATAATGTCCTTTTTAGTCATTATACACAGCTCACAGCACTTTTACAAAAAAATTTACCAAACACTCAGAAATTGATTATTGTACAAACAGCACTTATAACAAAAAGTTTACCAAACGCCAAACTGCTTTCTCTCACAGCTGATTTCTCTCACAGCAAATCTAACAGCGATTATTTTCATAGCACAGCAATGCCAAACTGGCCCTTGCTCTTATCTGGAAACCGTCTATTCCTAAACCCTTTCACGCACTGGCGGACCTATGCAGGCGCAAGAAGGTGCACCTGCACCTTCGGTCGCCGGAAATCTCCAATAAAGCTGCTGGAGTTGCACCTTTGCTCTGGCTACTGTTGCACTCCAAGTGTTTGAAAAAAAGCTTAAGCAAACTTGCTGGGTTCCTTTCTTTTGTTGCGTGCGCATCACAGCTGCTGTCCTTTTGTTTTTTAAGTTCTGAGCAAAACGACGTCATGTTGTACAAGGCCCCCGAAAAAAGAGAGGAATAAACATGTGAGTGTGACTGCAATTCCTACATGCTATTTAGTATATGATAAATCAATTGGGTCATTGGATGAAAAACAAATTGGGCCTTAAATAAGGATTGTCCTTGCATAAATTTGTAGGGCTGCAATATTAATTATCTATCAAGTCTGCAATGTTAATATCGATCAAGTATGTATAAAATTGCATTATTTAAAAAAAAGAAAAAGAAACCAAGTTTGTATAAAATATTGTCATTATTTTTGTGATATGAAAGCTCGCGGTGAACAATTGTAACTTAATTGTAATGTTATATTTTTTTTCTATGAATTACAAATGACATTAATTAGTATTGTTTAAATTCTAAGGTATAGTTTTTTTTTTGATAGGAAATCCTAAGGTATTTGGTTGTCTATCTTTTTGGTGTTTTTTTGTTGTTGAGCTTTTAGCGTTTTAAAAATTGCCCCTTCCCTGAAAAATTCTTGGGTCCGCCAATGCTTTCTCGCCTGCACCCTTTAGGTACTGCCTCATTGTAAATTCCTTCTTATTATTATTTTTTTCTGTTATTTATCCACGTATATATCGTTTGAAAATGTTTTGTTTTGTTCTCGAAGTATTAGAGCATTTGAAAGAGAACAATATATATATATATGCATGAAAGGAGAAATGCTTTATGAACCCATCTCATTGCGTTATGTATTTTCAATTGAAAAGTGGCTTTGTGCGCATGATAACATGCATGTGAATCTTGAATTTTTTGTTTTTTGTTTTAAATTGAAAAATAAAGTACCACTAGATTTAAGTTTAAATTCTAGCTCTGGATCTTAATAAATATATAAATGCGAGCCATAAAGCTCCAATAAACACTCTTAGAGCCGTTTTCACTTTGAGGGGGGAGGGCCACTATTCTCCCCCCCCTCTCCCCTCTTCTCTTCCTCCCTCCTCCTCTTCCCCCATTTTCAAAGACAAAAGGTTTTCCCTATTTGTCTTCGTTTTGTTATGATTTTCCTCCAATCATCACAGACGAGAGTTTTGTTTGTATTGCTATGGCTTGGTTTTTTCAAACTTTATCTCATTTTTATTATTCTTGAAATCTTAGTTGGGATGCCTATGCCAACGTTTCTTCAATCATGAGTGATCATTAGTGGAAGCTCACCAGATTGTCTTAATTTTGATTTTTTTTTTTTTTTTGTCTGATCCTAATTTTGATATTAGATCGCTCTGTATAGCTCTTTGTGCCAATAACTTTTTTGGTTGATTATGACTGCAATCCTAGAATTTCTAAACAAAAATTTCCAATAAACAAGTTTTATTTGGACCAGTACAGTATTCGACAATATTTTAGCTGCTTGCTTGTGCCATTTCAACTAACGATTGATATTGATAAGGTTTTATATATATATATAATAATTACTAGCAAAGCACATGTCGAACAGAAATCAAGGATCTTAAATATACAGAATAATCTAATTTATAAAGTATCTCAAAAAACATAAATTATAGAGTTATCAAAATGCAAACTAACTCCCTAAAAGACTAGGAAATGAAAGAGAGACTAGAAGTATACTAAATTGACTACAACTGCTTAACAGAATCAGTTGTAAGTCCAAAATCAAAGGGAAATAGGGGATCATAATGAGCATCGCCAACATTCATAGGGAGCTGATCCACTGTCTTGAACCATGTTCTAGGCAGCTTCCCACTGAATCCATAATCACCAAACAAAACATCGCTAACTCCTTGTCCTTCAGTTCCAGGTAGCCATGCAGCCACAAGAGCATCCATCGACGAAACGTAAGGCTCAATGACAACGGGACGGCCAGAGACGACAACAACAACGCACTTCACCGCGCCGCAGACGTTGGTGATGGTCTGTGGTCCTGGCTCTGCAATTGTCAAGTTCAAACTATCCCCCTTGGTCTCCGCGTAGGGTTGCTCTCCAATGACAACAATGGCGTAGGAGAAGTTGTTGGACTTGAGAAAATCGGCATCAGGGTTTTCACTGAACACAATTTCTGTGCTGGGATCAACTGCAGCTGTGATGGCACTGAGGATGGTGGTTCCTGAACACAATGCACATAAATTAAGTTAATTTAGAGAAACAGTGGTTGAGTTAAATTAAGCACAAATTAACGACAATTAAGTATATATACAATGAGATTGTAGCTCAAGTGGTTCTCGAATATCGCTTGTATCAAGAAAAAAAAATACGTTAAGAAGATACCAACCAGCAGTGTAGTTGTTGCCACTAACTCCTTGCCAAGTGAGACTCCAACCACCACATTGATAGCCCAAGTTGTTGGCATGGGTTCCCGCAACTAGTATCCTTTTTGTCTTCTTTGGGAGTGGTAGGACTGGTGTATCTGCAGTTTCTCCGTTCTTCAACAGGACAAGTGACTTCCTCACTGCTTCTCTTGCCAAATCTCTATGAGCCTGCATGTTATATATAAGATATGTTATGAATTGGTTCAATTACTTATATTTTAGAAGATTCAGTATAAGAGATCAAATTAGTGACCTGGCTTCCAAGCTTGTCAACAAAGCTCTCATCTGCCAAAGGGTTCTCAAACAGACCCATCACGAACTTGACTCTCAGAATTCTCCTAACAGCGTCGTCGATACGGCTCATGGGGATACGTTTGTTGTTGACATGGTCGGTTACAATGCCAATGAACTCGGTATGATTGAAGGGAACCATGACCTAAACAACACCAACAAGCAGTTTCAATATCAGAAAAATGAACCCCTTTAAATATGAATACTAATATTCTGCACTGTACTGATAACATCTATATATCATATAACCAAGATAGCAACTAATTATACCATGTCAATGCCAGCTTGAACACCAGCAAGAACCGCTTCTGGGTAATTCGAATGGAGCGGATAGTTAATTTTGTCGATACCCTGCCAGTCGGAGATGACAAAGCCCTGAAATTTGAACAATGACAAGGTTAGTCCTGCTAATTAATTCATATCCCCGTATAGAATAATTTGAATTTTGAACCAACTAATAACAGTTTGATTGTTTTACCCTGAACTTAAGGGTGTCCTTGAGAAATTTGGTAACAAGCTCATGGTGAGCATGCATCTTCTTTCCATTCAAACTTGAGTAAGAGACCATGATAGTGGACACACCCTTGATGATAGAATGGTAGTAAGCAGGCATGTGGATGCTCAACAATCCATGCCTATCAATCACAGTGTTGTTCTCATTTATACCCCTGGTTGTGCCACCATCTCCAACAAAGTGCTTTGCACAGGCTGCTACCTTATCCCTATATCACAAATAAAAGGTTTTCGAGATAAGAAAAGAGAAAATGGAAGTACTAAAAACATCTTCGAAATCATCACAACTTTATTTTTCTGAGCACTTACTTCCCACCCACATAAGGAACGCCCTTCCGGGAACCAGCTGGAATTTCGCCTTGCAATCCAAGTATGACATCAGTCATTTGTATTACGACTGCAGGATCTTCGCTGTAGCTCTCGTAGCACCTACCCCATCTCGGATCTCTGCAGACCTATTGTACATTAAGGTTTAAGATTATTAATCAGTGATCAGTATTAAAAGAATATATATCACACGCAAAAACTGTTCAATTATTGGATTTATAGCATACCGCAATGCACGGTGCAAACGCATAATTAATGCCAGTAGCTCTAACTTCAAGTGCAGTTGCAGCACCAATCTTCTTCACAAGTTCCGGATCCCTGGAAGATATTGGAAAATTTTCATACAAATCAACATTAATATAGATATAAAGATATATAAAGATGTTTAGTATATCTTTCAGAGAATCACTTATTACCTGGTGGCTCCAAGTCCAACATTATGTGGGAAAATGGTGGCCTTATAAACATTGTTGTGCCCATGAACAGCATCAATGCCATAAATCATAGGGATCCCAAGCCGGCTTGAAAGTGCACCCTTTTGAAACTCATTGAACATGTTGATCCAATCCTGTGGACTAGCCTGCTCACGCGGCACACTCCCTCCGCCACTCAAAACACTGCCTAATGAGAAGTCCCTCATGATCTCAGCTGTGACATTGGCACGGTCCAGCTGGGTCATCTGCCCGATCTTTTCTTCTAGCGTCATTCGACCCATCAAGTCCTTAATTCGCCTATTTAGCGGCTGCTTAGGGTCCTTGTATGCCATGTATTCTGCTCCTGCTTGTGCCATGGCTCCCCAGCAGCATAACCACAGAAGTCCTACTAAGATGACTGATGAACTTGGTCTTACCATCATTGAAATCTAGTCAAACCTGCACCAAAAATCATAATATTAGTTACATTGCTCATACTATAGTCAAAATAAAAACCCTAAACAAGAGGAAAAAAAAACACAAAAACAAGGCGAATTCCGAGAATGCACAGACCTTGATCAATAGAGAAGGAGATACCAATGTAAGACTGGCTGAAGAATTGAGTGTGTATTTATAATGTAGGTGAGTATTTAAATTGGGTTTTACTTGAATATCCGGATAGAATTAGAGATATCATAGGATAAGAAGAACCAAAAACTAAAGTCTTCTAATCTGACTTGTAGAGATTCTGTGGAAAAATTTTAGTTTCTAAGTTTGTCTTGCAGTTTTAGGAAATCATACCAAACTATAATAGTAATAATGGGTTTATCCATCTTTCAATCGAATTTGGTTTAAGAAGATCTATCCATATGGAACTTTACTCACTAGGATATGTTGTTGAAAATAATTATGCAAATACATAGACAATGCCGAAAACAATACTTTCACGTGTTCATTATCAACTATATTATTATCAAACAATTAATTGTGTTATATGCTGCAAAAACTATAAATAAAAAAAATAAAGAAAAGAAAGTGTACATCAAATCAAATTAATAAGGAATCCTTTTTAGGAAAATAAAGGCGACGTGATGTTGGAGCCAACTCACAATGTGATTCAAATCATCTAAAATTTAAGGAAAATGCTAGGGAGACCAACTTGTGTACCAACTCTCTAATAGAGCGTGGGACCCATTGTATTGATGGGCTCCATCTCTATTAGAGAGTTGCTACACAAGTTGGTATCCCAAGTTGGTCTCCCCAGCATGACCCAAAATTTAATATCTTCCTTATCCACACACAAAAATTCAATAAAATAAGGGATTTTTAATTTTTATTATCAGGAATCTAAATCCGTCATGCTTTGGAATTGCTAGAATTCTATTGGTACTTTAGGTAGCATTGTTTTGAGAACATAAACGTCTTCTTTCCTGCAATGATTTCCTTATTATGCTATAACCTGTTCTTACTTTTTTCGTTCATCTTACATTATAGATTGTGCGTATGATATGTTCTTTTCTTATATTATATATGGTTTTCAGTTTTCCTTCAAATTATCATTGAAATCTGTATGCATAAATCATTAGGCTCTGTTTGGTGGGCCAGACTGGACTGGTTAAGATTGGGCTTGGAGTGTTAGACTAGCGAAAATATATATGTTCTTCTCGATCTTAAACAGTGAGTGATTTTGTGGGTGATTAATTCAGTGTCTACTTCTGTATTTGGGTTGGCCCAAGGCCCAAGTCTTCATTAAATTAATTATTTAATTAATTATATACATAACTAATCATTGCCAATTAAGAAATTTGTTGATGTTGCACCACTTTAGTTACTCTTCATGTTCTTATAGTTATTTTTTTTCACCAACTCTTCTAACCTTATTGCTAATATTCAAATTATTTCTTTAAATTCGTTTAATCAAATGTACATTGTTATTCTTCCTGATTATTCAGCGATAAAAGAATAATATATTTTCCTTAATTCTCCTGAATTCCACACCATGGATCCAAAATTTGCAATCTTTTCTGGTCTTCTTGATTATTGAACCAAAAAAAAAAGCTTCTTGATTTATTGTCATTTCTCTTTCCAAACTAACCAACCTCCAAGGATTTGGCTTGATTATTTCCTTGTTCTGTGGAACTTTTTGGGATACATTTACCAAAAATTTCCTAAACCAAAAAGCCTAAATTGCATGTTGGTTGGACGTGAAAAAATTTGACTCAAACAAGGTGAGCTTGGGTTGACTCACAGCCACGTTTTTTTTATTTTTTTACAGTAAAACTGGGAGTTCTTGCGATATAATCCCATTTCATTGCGCAGTCATTGTCTGAGAGAGAGAGAGAGAAATCCAATTCCAATAATCTTTTTTGTTCTTTTTAGTCATTGTTTAATCTAAAAATCCGTTTCATTCAAATTCAAATTTTGGTGAGAACCACATAACATAAACGATGTGCATTGGCAACAGATAAAATTTCTTGAGTAACATTAAAAACTAAGGAAAACCAGAAAGTACTTTCTAGTCAATATGAAGGACTGGAAGAATATATTTCCAATGCAATTTTGTTCCTAAAAAAGAAACAAACAAAAAAGGTCCACTCAGAAGGTAACATACATTAGATGTGACAACAAGTGTGCATGCAACCAGAAAGCATTTGAAAACTCAGGTATCATTTTCTTCTTTTTTTCTGTTCTTTTTTCAGTCTGAATCAGAATCATCAAGATTCACAGAGGATCTCACTGTCCTGCGACTACCTTCATGATTTCCATCATCTTCATCATCCTCATCTTTCTTCTCACTAATTATACCTGTTAAAATGGCAGTTTAGCGACTCTACAACAAACTAAGAATTGCAAAACACTCTTGGCAAAGCGTTTACCTTTCTTGATTAGTACAACCTCGAGTGCCCTTGTGCTGAAATCATCTTTTCCTCCCATATCTTGAAATCCAACCAACCTATCCACAGCAACTCCTTTTCTGAAAAGGCAAACCTTTTGAATTCATAAATATGAATTTTTAATGCAAGATCTCAATGTAAGCTGAAAGCAGCATGAACGTCATCACCACATGCTCTTGAGACATGTTAATACACACGTTGTCAAGTGTGAATGTTCAAATGATTGCGATCTTAGTACAGTTTCAGCTTTCTTTGCTCTCCTGCTTTTTTGTTTAAGAGCCACCACATGCTGATATGCATCTTAAATACTGGAAATGGGGATGAATATAGATATAATAGTTATGATGGAGATGGCCTGACCTGAAGATTATGACACAAGGCAAAGTTTTGACTCCTAACTTGGTGACGAAGAAGGGCGCATTCTGCATTTCATTTTCAAATGGTCAATTTGCCATTCTAAAGCTTTCCAACTAAATGACTGAAATGGAAAGTTGGAACAAGCAGGATCAACCCGAGCAAACATGAAAAGCTGCACCAATTATAAGAACAGAAGACCATATTGAAGTTTATACTGACCTCTGCATCCAGCTTGATGAACTTGGTATCAACATGCTTTGAAGCAAGGGTCTTCAAATGCTTATCCATTATCCTAAAAAGTGGAGGAAAATTTGGTCTAATTGCTATATTTAATCACACAGAAATTTAGAAATAATTATGCAATATCATGTTAAAAAACAAAAGCATACACAGATAAAATCACATGATGGACTAGAAAAACCTGAAAAATTCCCTTGGATAAACAGATGCATTGATACCTTTTCAGAAATCAGCAAAGGACACCATGGACCAATAGACTAATTTCCATTCAAAAAGAACCAGGTATTCATTTTGAAACACAATCCCTCCATGTTTATGAGTATTAAAGATTCTAGAGTAAGAGGCTTACTTGCATCTATAGAACTCCTGGTGATAGAAGTGGCAGATGGCTTTCTCAGTCCCAGTAACTTCACCTAAAAAATCCCCTTCAGTTATCTCCCTGAATTCTCCATGCCCTTTCCTCTTTAAAGCTTCTCTCTTCTCAGCTTCTTTCTATTCAAATTCCAAACCAAACCCTCTAAAACATAAGCACAATACCATGAAAAATTCTACATACCCACATGAACAAAACATGAAAAAAAATCGAACCTTTAGAGCAGCAATCCGATCCGCATGCAATTTTTCAAGCTCAGGATCCTACCCACAACCAAATGCACATCAAAATCATTGCTTTGAAAATTGAAAAGTGCATGAAAGATGCAGAGAATTGAATTGAACTCAGAACTTACATCCATCAACTCGTCAAGGTCGACTTCCTGGTTGACAGAGCTCGTGGCCGGTGCCTTTTCATTGGCAATCAATTCCTTCTGGTAATTGCGAGCCGCGGCGGCCATTACATTTCCAAAGGCTAGATTTTGGAGAGTGGATTTCACTGAATCTGGATCCATGTTTCCTGGGAAACGAAAATTCTTCAACTCTGACACTTAATTATACTGTTCTTTAACAATCAAGGGAGAATTACAGATCCGGAGAAGAAAATAGAAGCAACCACTGCTTTCCCAGCTTCCAAATCCGAGTTAAGGGTTCAATTCAACCGCGAACCACCATTGAGTTAACGTTCGAACAGGCTGAGTGTTTGAATAACTAAGCCAGGCCCAACATACTGTTTTCACTTGCAATTTCCTAACTTGGGCTTCGTATGACACACCCCACAATTTGATGACAACACCCAATTACTCAGAACTTTCATACCCATTTTATCTTCTGTTTTTTTTTTCTTTTTTACAAAGACATAGAAATAAAAAATAAAAAAATGTGGAGGAAACCACTACTCACAGATAAATGCTATTACAAACAAGGATTTGGACCTTGAATATGGTATTGCAAGATTGCATGTCACAAGCTGCAATATGCATAAGTGACAAACTGCAGAATGAAAATCTATTTAGATTAATAGAAACCAAACAACAAGGACATTCATGCAACTTGTAGCATGTACATATATTCACTGGCGAACCTACACTTGAGCAAGGAGGTGCTGCTGCACCTCCCTCATCCGAAAAATCCTTCAGGGTAGTCAGAATTTGCCCTTCTACTGGTGCCCACCATGCGATTAAATGTCTAAAAGAGACTTTGTAATATTCAATTTGATTTCTGTTTCACATAAACTTGTTGCCTCCCAAAATTCCCTTAATGGTGTATCTCTATTTAATAAATAATCCCCCCCCCCC